ACGCCTCAATATTACCCTCGCTTCTCTAAGAATGTCAAACTTTTCAGGTATACCTCCTATTATTTACAAACTCACCTCTAGAAATTCTTGCAGGTTTTACTCTGATAATATTCTTATACGTTTTTCTTACTATCTTTCGTGATGAGAGATGGAGCTCGTTATGGAAGACTTCAATTTTCACCTCCAGTTTCCACAACTGTCCGGTCGTAAACCGTTCAAGCTAACATATAACGATTGGAGTATTATGTAAACAACTGGTATAATTTCCGGTGATATAAATGTTTTTAAAAACAAATCGTATCCTAGGTTTCGATGCAGCCTTGCTCGTGGGCTCAGGCTCAGTAGCCCTGCACTTCTCCTCCATCTCAGGCACCTTCCCCTCAACCGTTCCTTCACTCTCGTTTCCAGGCTTTCTCTTTTATTTCTTTGTTCCATAGGCAGAGAGTATAAATTTGACGTGATCAGGCCCCATACTCCTTCGTAAAAAGTAATGATTCTACCCAGCCCAGACCATCGCCTCTTTATTACCCCTCCCCTTCCACGAATACTTGAAAATTAATCGGGTTTTCCAATAAACCTTAAGCTTAGGAGGAACCTTCCTCCCACAATACTGTTTCAGACAGCTTTGGTTCGAATCTCAGATTTCGTCCTGCAACTTTTGAGATTTTTTAACTGAAATTTGGTCCCAAACCTCCTCTTCTCTTCTAAAATGTTTCGAAATCGCTCGAAACTAAAAGTTATAACTGAGATATAATCACAGATTTCCCGCGGAGCTGCTTCGTTCATGATGTACCGTTCTTACAAGAACAGTTTCATGGCTACTCATCTCCCTCACGTCGTATTGGCGTTGTTGGTCCTGACACAGCAGACATGGTGTATACCACCTACGTCTTCGGAAGAAACTTACAGAGGGCTGTTGACGACATGGCACCGTAAGTAGATGACTTATTCAGGGTTAAAACGTAATGTGTTCCCACAGAGGTTCTATGAGGAATTATTGTGGAAAGTCTAAGTATCGACCAAGAGTGCCAGGGAGTGATGGCACGCACAAGTGACCGCACACAAGACACACATAACCACGCCAGGCGTACGCACTTGACACATCACACGAACATGCTTGATGCTGCACACGACCATTCAAACAACAAAACATCAGAAAAATGAAAATAAAAAATACCGACTCTCTCTTAATTCTACTAATGAAATTGTTGGCAGTTTCAACGGTGACCATGAACTATATTATCGGTGAATCAGGTCATATCAACTGAGAAAATAGCTACACGATGCCATGTCCATGTTTTTTTGTTTCAAGGACTGAAGTCGTCCAATGTTTTTGAGATTTATCTTCGTGCCGAAATATAATTATGCACAAGTTTTATTTCATTTTATTTCATTTTATATCCAAAGGCTACATTGGTCGAAAAACGATTTGAGATCGTTCTTATTATTTGAAAAAAATTCTCTCGGTTGACTAATCGCGGAGTTATAGAAAATAATCGCATAGGTTTTGATTTTTGAAAATGCTTTTGAATTCGCAATATCCAAAGTTGGAGGGATATTTCATCCTGATGTAAGTCAAGCAAATTGTTTCACTTTCTATACCATGTGAGTTTGTGAGGTAGAAATTACAGAATCATTTGTTATTCTAAGGCCGACCACATTGCTGATAATGGAAAGAGGTCCTGAAAAGGTGTAAATGATCTATCGTTGTTGTAAGCTACGGTTAAATGTAACAAAGTAAATGTCACCCGAACATAGGGCCAGTTTTATTTTGGGTACATTACAGATAGCCTTATTAATATTGAAAAATACTTATATGAAAAGCGTGACATAAGAAAACAAAACTGAAACAATACAGAAATTTGTGCATATTTTTATTGGTAAAATTATAGATGTGACAGTCCACAAATCCAAAAGGAAACTATAAACTTACAGTAAATAACAAAGTATGATGTTCAGTGAAAGTGAAATTTTCTTGTTTAGACAAAGAGCATAAATCAGTGTTCTCTCCAAGCCAAGGCCCTCCCCCTGAGTGCTATTTGAAGTACTTCCTGCACCAGTCACCCCCACAGGGGCTTCTCATCGACCATCCTGACGCGGAAGTTTATGTTTGCCAGTCGGTCCCAGAATCCCCTGACACGTACTTCTTCGCAACTTTGTTCGACGATAAAGCAGGCATTGCCATTTTGTCCGCGTACACCGTCACCTACGAACAGGCGCGTAACATGGGTATGTTTCCAAGAGAAAATGTTTCAAATAGCTGGCGAACAAATAAAGGTAAGCTCAGCGAATACTCGTTAGAAGATTTATTAATGTTTTCATACCTTTCATACCTATAACCCTATTCAAATATTTTGTGACAAGCTTAGAATATCCTCCAATAATGTATTTTCTCAATTTCTCAGCGTTAAACTGGAGCTAAATGTAACCAAGGAAGGATTAAAACGAGTTAGACGCCCACCTCGTGCATAAGCCACGCGTATTGGTTTTGCGCGCGTTTTCTTTTTCCCATTTCCTCTGTTTTCGAACTCAGGATGCATGTCCTGTTTATGCCGAAACGATATCATTTCGATAGAAATCGACTGTAATCAAAGGTAATTTAATATTATTAACTGAATTGATAACGTAACTTGGCCACCGTAAATAGTTTAAAAGCTGACGTTTCAAGCGTTGGCCCTTCGTCAGAGCGACTGGAGGAATTGTGGGTTGTGTGTGTTTATATGTAGAAAATGGAGGTACCCTATTAGTGGGAATATGGTGACGAGAAACAAGACTAAATTAGTTGAATGGAAAGCACTGGTTTATAAAGGGGGGATTAAGAGTGCCGATTTGAAAAATGAATTTTTTGTTCTAGAATTTTGTGGCTTTCCGAAATGCCTAGATGTAGGGAAAGGCCGCAAACTTCCCTGTGCTGCTTAGAATGGTTAGGGAGATCGAAGTGTCTAGCGACTGGTTTAGTTGCGTCTTTGTTATTTTTTTCTACATCGCGAGGGTCATCTACATCGGTCACCTAGTCGTCTTCCTGTTTCACCGATGTATTAATTTTTGCAATAACTGCAAGTTATGCAAGAGAAGACATTGGCGGAGGTCATCAGTGATCTTAATGGATCCTCCAATCGCTCTAACAAAGGGCTGACACTCGAAACGTCACCTTTTAAACTCATTATGGTGGCTAATTTACGTTATCAACTCAGTTGATAATACTAGGTTACCTTGTTATACTCTCCCTCCGACGTAGTACCATAGTTTCTTTAGAAACTTACCCCCTTTATTCATCGGTAACCAAAGGAACCGACCTCGCACGCGGTAATCAACGACAGCCACCTCGCGTGCTGGACACGCGTATTGGTTTCGCGTTAAGAGTGAATAATCTCCAAGAGAGTGTGAAATAATATCTTGTTTCGCGCCCGTCGTCTCTTCCAATTTCATACCATTTTCGCTTAATGTCCCGTTTACTCCGAGACAATATCATTTCAAAAGAAATGGACGGTAAACGACGTCATCTGCACTTAACGTCAGATAGAGGCAAATGTTAGTTGAGTCCAATTCTAACCAGACCTGATGTTTCGTCTTAATTGTAGAACTAACCCATCAGGGCACTAACGAAATGTATCACGGCCACGGCAGGGGAAAACAGGGGTTTGACAAAGGACACCTTAATCCAGCTTACATTAACTCATTTGACAAAAAGCACGTGTTGGCCACGTTTACTTACAGTAACGCAGTTCCACAATACGGTAGCTTTAACCGCGGCCTCTGGAGAAAATTTGAAAGAAAAATTGTGAATTACGTCACGGAGCAATGCGCGATAAAAAATAAATCATCAGCTGTGATGTATTTAATGACTGGCTCGTCGAAGTTCCGATTACAAGATGGTACAGAAAAACCAGTCCACGACAAGGGCCAGATCAAGGTATGCTATTTTGTCGACGTGACTTTGATTTTGAGTTGTCTGGTAAACAAATTTGAGGTCTCTTAGATTTGAAATTAATTTAATGGAACTCAATCCGACTGAAGTTATAACATACTTTATGGGGACTCTCAATTTTCAAATGCGCACCACCATATGTTTAGGAGACCCACAGAGATGCTACTGGTTTTAGCAAAACGATGATTTTCAATGTGAACGCATTTAGCGAATAGTTTCCTCTGGCCATTTACACCCCATCTACCGATCTTTGATGAGTTAATAGTCCATTTTAGACGAATTCGTCAAATCAAGTCTCCTTCTTTAAAAAAAGTGAGCGAGGGGGGGAGGGGAGGGGAGGGAGCAAGAAAGGAAGAGTCAGTTCCAGCTTTCGTCTTCATGCAGTCGTTTAAAAGCTGAATATCCAAAACGCGACCCCGCTCAAGTTCTGAGTCTGTTTTTGATTGATCAGTTAAAGGAAACTTCCTTCCCCTGAATTTTGTTTTGTTTGGTTTTTTTTTCTTCTCAGATTCATTATTTCCCTGGCCCTGGCTCCAACGGGTCGATTGTGCGCCCCAATTCCATGTGGACAGCAGGATGCTGTGTTTGGGAAGACGAGAACCACAAAGAAATGGCCCAGTCCATCGCAGTCATGGGAAACAATGACTTTACCAAAAACCTCACCATAATGTCGATGACATTGGTGGAACTCGAGAAAATGTTGGTTTACGACGGAAATGAGCCTGTCTCTCTTTTTCCTGCCGTCAAAGAATGCAGAATCAACAGTTTAAAGCTACCAAATTGATCGTTTGAGATAAAAGAATCCAAATATGGATATGTTCTGTTGGTTTGCATTTCGCTGATAAATATGGTAAACTGTTTTTTGTTTCAGATATAAATGAAAATAGCTATTTGATAGTAATCAGTTATTTCCAGAAACAAGTAATTTCGTTTCCAGTTTCGATGCATTTAATTATAATTTTTAACAGTTGATGATTGAAAGTTTGCATATTAAAACAGTGCGTAGATATTTCATGTCTCTCTCCATTCTCGAGATTTTATATTTGGTATTTTACTGAAACACAGTCAGAATAAACTTCTTTCAGGTTTTTTTTTTTATGATTTCACGAACTGAATACACACCCACAGAAAAAACAGAACAGTTATCTTGCAGCTTTTATTTTCCTCATTACTTTGTGAAACATTTGTGCAAGGGATTAGACTTTGACGTTAGAAAATTTTCCATCAGTTTTGAGTCCTTTAAATCTCGTCAAGATCGAATGAAAATGTTTCCGTGTGGATTGTCGACATTCTTCAGATGGTTGAGTTCGTTTTTTCCACAAGGATCATGGGTAGGCCAGTGCATCAATGTGTAACCATCAAAATAATAATAAATGTTGGAGGAGGAAAAGATCGGTCCAAAGGTCTGACTATGAATCGGCACAAACCTAGATGGCGCTGGCGAATCTTGACACGTGTCAGTCACGTTTTTAACGACCTGACACTTGACGCTCCCTTCCTGCCAATCAACCAAGCTTCCAGTTCCCGGATGACAAACCAGCCAGTTGTTTATGTTGCTTTTGATGAGGACCTGTCTGCCGAGTTGTTTCCATATGGAGAAATTCATGGCGTTGAAGTCTGTTTCACCCAACGGCGGGGTTACCGAGACAGGGACGTTGAGAGCAGAATTTATCTGCCAGTTCGGCCTCGGTGTAATAGCATTTAAACTCGAAGAAAACGTATCGTAATCAGTGAATTTATAGCTCCACACAAGAGTCCAGCCCCCTCCATCTGTTTCCATGTCACAGTAGGCCCTGAAAGCCGTGCCCTGGGATCCACCGTCTGGGTCGATCCAGTAAACACCAGAGGAAAGAGAGGGGAGTTGGCCGCGAAGGATCTGGCACGAAGAAACTGCTGACAGTTGAGTAGAACCTATACAAGGTGTGACGTGGCCTTAAATTGAGTGTATGATTATAATAAAGATAAATATTACGATTTTAAAATGCTCAACTGAGTGCAATATTACACCTTTTTTCCAGTCGCGATGCGTGCCTTGTTCTTTTTGAGGGAGATATCACTTTAATGAAGGTAACGCGCACATGATGACGTAAAATGTTTCACTCAAGACCAGAGTTTGTGTTCAATAGATGCAGATGTTTTCTCCGCTCGAAAGAGCTTTCTCTTTCAGAAACTACAATCATTTAAGATATTTTTCAGTATCTGCTAAAGCCATCTTATATACCGTTAGTATCTCACCTGCACTGCTTTACCCGGCTAAGAGAGCAAGTAGAACCATATGAAATAAGAATGTTTATGACCACGTATAGAGATAGGTAACCGATCTTTTTGTACCTAGTCGGTGAGTCGTTTCGTACCCAGCTCGGTCGTTTCGTACATAAAATTATTAAAATATGTTTTCCATGTTAAGATTGTTTAAAGTAAGGTCAGTTTCTTGTTTTGAATAGTAACATTACCTGCGTCAAATTTGCTTTGTTAACGAGGTGTCCATTTTTGAAGCGCGACCACCGAGTATGCCCAATTTACATTATCAGCTCAGTCCATAAAAACAAATCATCTAGTGTAAGGTCTGGAGCCGAAAATGGGGAGTCTGGGAGTCATGAGATAGACGCGAAGGATATTTCTACCAGAAAACATTTATATTTTCATTCCATCCTAATTTAACATAGATTACAACTTAATACTAATATATTTTTTTTTCGTCAGATCAAACGAATTTATTATCGTTGATAACGATGGGATTGGGTGCGAAACGACCGTGATTACAAAACGACCTGATACCTAGAGACATTCTTAATGACCTACCCAATGGACTGGCGATTCCTGGAAGTTCAGTCTGTAATAGAAAATCCCTCTGTTAATGACATTAGACAAAGGCCTATTTCGATAACATAATAATTGTCTCTGTATCTCCGTATCTTAGTTACGAACGTAGTTACAATGTTTACTTCTTTTCTCATTGGTTTTGTAATCGGACCTTTAAGCGTTACCAGGCGCATATAGAAGCTGAGTTAGCGTCCCTTTTTAAAGTAGTTTTTCGTTCGATTTCGCGTGGCTTTCTCAACCTCGTTCTCTCGAGGTTTCTTGATTCTTAACCCTTGGCTCAACCGGGACCGACATTTTACGATCGTTTATTTGAATGCAATAAATCGTCGAAAACTGTCAACTTTGGTTCTTCGTAGTTTATTCGTCTTTGAAGACGACCTGTAAAGCAGTCCCACACATTAGTTGCGTCACGTCGAGAGGTCGTTTTGTTACGTCTCGTTTTGGAACAAGTTGGCGTTCGCTGCAAGCGCAACGCTCACACTTAATGTTATTATCCTGTTTTAAAATATTTAAATAAGAGCCACATGCTCATCATTTGAATGATTCCTAATCCGGTTTTCGAGATAAAATACCTTTTTCGCATAGAAAGATCCCTCTAGTCGTTTTAAAAGCTTTTCCGCCAGGTGTGTTTGTCCGTTTCCAAGGAGTGAACAGGATCTTTGGTTTGCCAAGAAGTTTACACTTTCACAAGCAGCTTCCCTCGCACACAGCAGTGTACAGGACAGCAAAGAGTCAGCTTTTCTATCCCAAAGAGTATCAGCGGAAAGAAAACTGTTTTCTTTTATTTCAAAGTAGACTCCCCGAGGAGATTCTGCAGTTATCTTGGCTGGTATGGACAGAATTATCGCAGCAAAGACTTTAAGCGACATCTGGTAATCGCTACAACATGAAATGAAAAGTTAGCTAACGCATAGACTGGTATAGGATGTTGTTACGAGTTAAGATTAGTTATTCAAAAGCAGAGGTTAGATAGGAAGATGATTACATTACTTTTTCTCCGTGTGATCCAGCCGACAGATTGTAACTGTTCTGAATCAAGGTTCTTTTACTTGAACTGAAGTTATAAATTTTGAGTTGTCTAATTGAAGATTTTATGTTCGCTTAAACGATATTTCAAAAGATTTTGACATTTTGTAAATTCCGTCTCAAGTATCACTTCGTATGCAATTACATATTTTGACATTTTAATTTAAGTGTATGATCATATCACAATTCGCCGTGGACATTGCATTAACAAAAATCTCGGTTTTAGCTAGTGAGTGTAATAAAAAACAGATTTTCAGTTTCTACGGTTTAAAGGATGGAATTTAGAGGAGCTCAGTACAGCGTTGATTCAAGATTGCATCTTATAGGAAATGTATAGCTTATATGAAGTTATCGGTGCGCGCGAGGTAAGGCAGCTGAAAACTGTATCAAAATTTTATTACTCAAGTTGAGGGAAATTAATCATTGAGTCAAAGATTTATGCTCTCTGAACTTTTATTACATTGTTATTGCAGTCGATAAAGCAATATAATCCATCACTTTAAGAGGATATTCTCATTCGTAGTGTTTAGAGCCCTTCACGTCCTGAGGGGATATTTCCAGAAATTATTCTTTGAATATTTACTAATCAGTTAAATCCTCAATTTTGTCAATGACTTTCTCATTTTTCATTTCGCTCACAATCTATCTAATTAAAAAATCTTCCAACTAACCACCTGGTAAATCTTAAAACACAATAATTTAAATGAGACGTTCTTGACAAAATGATTTAGTGCATAAACGCAAATTGAATACTCAATTTGTCCTTCCGCGCGAAGCCGTACTTTCAAACTTTGCAACAAACGCCAAGGCTGGTCCTCGAATACAGAGTCGTTCCAATGCCCTCCCTGTTCTAACAGGGGAGCGGAGACTGGAGCGATGGTGTTGAAGATCGTCGCGCGCACCGAACAGTGTATGAAAATAGACTGCGTGACATTCGTGCGGGTTGTGAATTGGGACACCTAACACTACGGTAAAAAACCCAGTTAGTGCCATTTCGCATTTCTCTTCAACTATTTTTTGACCATCTCAACTTTATTTTTCACCATCTCAGTTTTTTCCCGGCACGACTTCAACTTCCTTCTCGACTTCAATTTTCCTTCACGACTTCAACTTCCTTCACGACTTCAACTTTCCTTCACGACTCCAACTTTCCTTCACGACTCCAACTTTCCTTCACGGCTCCAATTCTCCTTCACGACTTCAACATTCCTGCACGACTTCAGCTTTTCGGCACGACTTCAACTTTCCGGGACGACATAAACATTCCGGCACAACTTTAACATTCTGGCGTGACTTTAACATTCCATGCTACTTTAATTTTCTGGCACAACATTAGTTTTCCGGCACCATACGGTGATCCATTGAGGACATGCCACATTTTTTTTTTTTTTTGTTGGGGGGGCGATAAATCTCATTTATCGCGCAATAAATTGAAATTATCGCGTGATAATTGAAAAATTATCACGCGACAAATGGGAAACTTGTTAGGTCGTACGTGGATCGTTGGCCCATAGAGGACATGCCACATTTTTTTTTAACAGCCGATCACGTGCGACCTAACAAGTTTTTCGTTTATCGCACGATAATTTATCATTTATCGCGCGATAACTTTTCATTTCTCGCGCGATAATTTATCATTTATCGCGCGACAATTTATCACTTATCACGCGATAACTTTTTTTTCTCGCGTGATAATTTATCGTTTATCGCGCGACAATTTATTCTTTATCGCGCGATAAAAGTGGACAGCACCGTAGCGGGCTACCTTATTTTCACCGGAAGACTCAACACAAGAATCAACGCAGCAGGTCACCGCCGGCCGATCGCAATGTACTTGCTGTAACACAGTTCGGTAAAAACTATAAATAAATTTGCAACTGGGCAAAGCTG